CGAGATTCCCGTTTTCCCCAACGGTTGTCGGTTCTGCCGCTTACAAGAGCACATTTATTTTATTATTTCTGCAGATGACAGGGCTTGGTATGGGGTTCTCTCAATCAGAGTTGCTGTTCTCATTTCAAAATTGCACGCAGCTATTGATGGATGAAGGTATTACCCCACTTAAACTTTTACATAGGCAGTGTTGTGTTATGTTCCTAACGGCAAGGAATATTTATTTACTTGATTCATGATAGATGGCCCCTGTCTAAGCTTTCTTCATAACAGAGAATCTAGTAAATTGATGCCTCTAATAAATTTTCATAGTTTTGACATAGTAAGTATAGTAATAAAATAATTCTTAAACACATCTAAATCTTAATATAAATTTATAACAATCTGAAATCACCCCACCAACATGCACAGCACATGACTTGATACACTTAATATCACTGATAAGAATGATTAGTCTCATTGCATGGACTTGCACTATATTTGTATATATAATATACATATTGACTGCAGCATGTTGGTAAGATGTACTTACATGAAATTACAAAAGATCATTAAGAAACGCATTTGAAAAGATTATAAAAATATTGAAATAAGTTTATATTTTTCTTAGATGTTTCATTGCAATCAGAAAACTAATGAAACACTTTTAAGAATGGCAAAAGTTTTTAACACAATAAAATGTATTCTCTTGTTTTTAAGACTATTAATAATTAATACAAATTGTTTGTTGTAAAAAAATATTGGGGCTTAGAAATTTTGAAAAAATTACATAATAATAACAACAATAACCACACACACACATGGTCCCAAACTAGGCAGAGCCTGTACTTCTAAATACATACATGACATCAACAGCCTTTAATAGTCCACTGCTGGACATAGGCCTCTCTTTCTGTCTCTAGGAAAAGAGGTTTTGGCCTACTACGGTTATAGACAAATTACAACAACGATTGTGCTCATCAGACAAATATTTAGGTGGGAATCAAACCCACAACCTCCGCCTTAGCAGTCAGGGTCACTAACCACTAGACCAACAGGCCATCCAATTTCTTTACATAAAAACAATAATAAGAAAAACATGTTAGACTTCTCAAGATGAATTTTATATGCCCAAATTCAAGGGTTTTACTAGTAACCATTGAATTCCATTATCCACCTCCTGTCTATATAATTAGATCAACACTAATATGAAAAACTATTATTTCATCCAAACCTTTACATGTAATACATCTAAAGTTTATGTTCAATACAATAATTAGAAGTAAATCAAAATTGACATAATAGGTGTTCCTTCGCCTTGCACTGCTGTTGTCCTACATAGCTTGCTCCCTTAGTGGTCTCTTATGAAACCCAACCAAAAGTCACTACACGGAAAAGATCAGATTAGTGCTATACAACAAATAAACTAGTCTTTCTTTTTTTCTACTGGTTCATAGGGCCATAAGCACGGAATTAGCAAAATCAAGGGACAGAATCACAACTATAATCCAGTGGTCCTGCTGAGTCAGAAATTGCAGGTTTTTTTGTTTAGAAGGCATTCAAGAATGGTTACTGGCAGCCTGATTGACATGGTACAACCATGGTCCATACAACCAACCATGGTCTGCTCGGATTGTGACAAGACATTAAAGCTGTGTTTTTAAAAATAAATTTGTATTTAAAAAATATAGTTTCTACTTATGAGAACGTAACAGAATCTAATCAAATGTTTGTAAACACTACTGTATGTTTATAAACAGTATAAAATATATTTTGTTATACTTTCCTAATGAGCTAACAACTAAGCAACGTCTGACCAGTGTGGTATAGTAGGACAAAACCTCCTTTTAAAGGAGAGGTCTATGTCCAGCAGTGGATTAGTAGAGGCTGTTGATGATGATGATGAAGCAAACAACTTATGTATGGGGTTTCGTGAATTTGACCTAGTCAACTATTTTCAAATGGTACATTAAGAACTTATGAAATAAAAAAAAATAACCTGCAGTATTCTATACAACAGTAAGTGGTTATTTATGACATGTAAAAAGTTTATAACTCAAACTCAAAATATATTTATTTCAAAAAAAAAATGTTTAAAATCGTCTTTTTGTACTCTTAAGTGATAGATCAACACACAATAACAACAATCTCGGTTTGGTCAAATATTTGGCAAAAAAAAAAACCTTGCGAAAATCTATTATTTGCCTGTGCTGATCTACAACCAACTGTTTCCAAGGGGTTGAGCCTTATGAGAAGAAAGGGCAAAGAAAAATTCTTAGATAATAGACAGACAGTAATATCAGAACTTATGAAACAGACAATAAGATTACTATTGGTATTTATTTTTTCCTTTTTTTGGCCATATTACATCAATAAAGTACCTATTCACTTTATGTTGAAATTCTATAGATATTATTTGATCTTTTAAAAATATTTATGACCATATTTAAAAAAATACATTATAAAAAATCGCGAAAATGCAAGACACAAACTGCAAATAGTTCATTTTATAATATTTTTATATTATTCTTCCTCTGAAGTTTATACTCTATAGATTGTAACAGATTATACGGAAAAGAACTTGGTGAACTACTTAAAGAAATAATCGATTGTTAAGAAACCACGATAAGCACGTAAACATTTAAAAAACATACGTGATAACAATACACTATTGTTGATAGAAAGATAACATTTTTCATTAACCCCAAACATAGGACATACGCAGTATGATAAGAAATAAAGTAAATACATAGTATTTTTTAAAACCAAATTAAATTCATTATTTTATGCTAAATTTATTAGAACATGATATAGCACTTACCTAGTAAATGGACCACTCCTTTTATTTATTTGAGCAAGTAATTTCTCGACTACACGGCAGTGACCCTCGCGGGCGGCATCCAATAACTCCTGGCCTCGTCCCATGGCCCATTAATAATTAAAACCTCACACAAAAAATAACACCAAATCAATCATTTCAATTTTTACACTAGACTTCACTCACTACACATTACAACTTCATTGATCGCGCCGCCATATTTGAGAATTTTGACGTGAGTGCGCTCTAGCGGTCGGCGAAGGAATCGATCGAGAATGACCTAGAGGCGCTTACTGCTTAGTAGAACTGTAAGGAAAATATTATGCCCTTAATGTTCTTTGTTATGATTTTATGAAGAATAATACACCACACTACCACAGTATAGTCATGGTATAATATTTTTTACGCCATCACTTTGTAACCTAAATAGGAGGTAGTAACGTTTTCCTCAAATTTCGAGACAAAACTTTCAGCTTACCCATATTTAAGTAATCCCTAATGTGGGTTCAGGTTGAACCACATAATAATTAAATAAATACAATGCACAGAAGTTTCACTCCTGTGATTTAAAAACGAGGATTATCTCACTACAACAGATATAACTGAAGGTTGCAAATCGAATATCCAGATCTCTTAAAATTATCCGTGCATACTGATAATTTTAAAAAAGAGCTTGAAGTGCTTTTGTAGGCTTCTTTAGATACAGAAATTTCTTGTCATGCTTATCAGTTACTGTTCGTTAGGGCCGTCGCCCGATCGGGGTTTACAGTAGGGTGGTGTGTCGGAATCGGACCGAACACGGTGTGCCACTCTGCGCCTGAAATAAAAGGGATCCGGGATCAGCTTGTATTAAGACATCCCTACCGATCCCACCGCATCAATCAAGCGGTAAATCTTCAACACCTTCAGGTAAATGTGTCATTTAGGTGACATTCAAATCCATGCAGACATTAACATCGCGTCTGGCCATTATGGCGAGTGAAGGGGTAAACCCGTCCCATCGAGCCACGGAAACGGAACTGCGTGTGGTGACATGTGGGTGGAACTCCTAGCGACCGAGTGCAAGTACTTCCCGAAGCAGCCGTGCTCAGGAAGGACCAGTGTCAGTCGAAAAACGAGGCCCCGTGCTGCCTGCCTCAATTATGACCGGCTGGAGTGCCTCCACGGCTGCAAATTCAGCACATGGAGCCTCCAGCTGGGACGACTTACGAGCCATCATCACATCATGAGTGACCCCATGAAACTCGCTTACCTCTTCCAGCGGGGCCAAACATCAACCAGCACTTGCGCCTCCAACCAGAACCCCCCGACCAGACCTTGCACCTACCGACTATTACTTTTTCCAAAATTTAGACAACTTTTTAGTGGGTAAAAAATTCAATTCCCGAGAGGCAGTACAAAATGCCTTTGAAGAGTTTGTTGCCTTCCGTCCAGCTGATTTTTAAAAGTAGGGCATCAATAAACTGCCAATGCGTTGGCATAGATGCGTCGATTGCATGGGTGATTACTTCGAATAACTGAAATAAAAAAGTTTGAAAAAATAAGTACTTTCACTTATTGCATACAAAACGGCAATTTCATAGGTAAAGACCTATTATATTACTTATTATTTAGCTTGTAAAAAATAATAATAACATTTTTCACATATCTCACACTCTTTTCTTCATCTTTCTCATTTTCTGTCCAAAGTTATAAGACTTAATTATGTAATGGTATTATTGGTAGGAAATTAGTAGTAAATATTGGCAGCATTCTTCTTACGGCCTTCCGGGCGACACAGATAATTTCTTTTTCTTTGCCGTGAGGAGTGATTCGTTGAATGAAGTTTGTGATGTCAATAGTTGTTTAGTGTTCAGTTTCGTTCACTCATTTATCTTTTCACTTGCGTTGTTTTGGTACATATTATTATCTATGAGGATAACCACAATAAAGTTCAGGACATACAGTGATATAGTGTTTACCTACGTTACGTGTTATTACAAGGTCTTTATTGTGATATTTTGCCCGATGTCAACTTAAAACGGTGGTGGCGAATACGAACTAGCAGTACCAAATCGTTGTTTGTTAAGAGTGTCAGTGTCAAATGATCAGCTGTTCCTAATTTTATTATTGACAGTTGGAATACTGCTCGGTGTTGATTATGCATGACTAACATTGAATAATTGGTAAAGTAATTGCAAATGAGGTACTAAAGTGATTGAAGATGCTTCTCGTAAATAGTGATAAGTCTATTCTAGTCGTAATTTGCTTATTTACCTGTGTTCTATCAGTGGTGTCGCAAGGTAAATAAATCTTTCATAGTATTTTGATGTCACATTAATTGTTACGCATACATTTATAAGTGTAAATATAGTCATTTATACGATAGCTTAGAAAGATAAAAGATGTGGTGTAGCTATAAATCTTTAGTAATAAAATGAATTCTAGGCAATATTTAAAAAATAAGGAAATACCTTTATAAAAAGGGTGTTACCCGAAAGTATAATAACAATGTTTATAATGAAATGTTTCTTTTTTATTTTGTTTTCCACTTACCAACTTAAAAGTTTTAAAGAATTTCTTTTTATCAGACTTAAATTAGACAGTTTGTTGAACTATTCTGTAATAAGTGTCTTTGACCCAGATTACAATTACTTGAGAATTCCTGTAAAATATTTTTAGAAATAAGTAATATTTTTACAAATATTTTCGTCTTTTTTTGCAGATGTAAACACCACTATAATAATACCGTTAAATAAATCTATAACATATGATGACCGAGAAATATATAGTAACTTTATAGAATTAGAATCTAGTAATCTAATTGTTCAAGTAAAGTTTTCTGATATTGATACTCATTTGTACTTCATTGTCTTCCAAGTACATACTCAATTTGAGAATATCACTGTGTATAAAGTCAACGATGGTAATGTTACCGTGACCGGTACTAATGTGGGTTTGATAAATATATTGAAAAAGTTACCGGGTGATACACCTACATCAGATATATTTTTTATACAAAACCCTAATCAAAATGTTTCTGTACGAGCATATATTTCCGTCCATGGCTACATCTGGCAAGGTATGTTTAGTTTTTTACTAATTTTTTGTGATGTTTGATTTATAGTCTTCCATTATCACATTAAAAACTAGATAAATAAAAAATAATATGCGTAGTGAAAATTAGCAACATGAAATGCTACCTTCAAATTAAAAAATAAAAAAATGTCTTCATAGGGTTTAGTATTGCAGCATTTGCAGGGTAATTAGCTTTTAAGACTTTAAAGACAGAAACAGAACCATATGATAGTGGGTGATATGGTAGCCCACCATTCACCACCAAAAAATTCATAACTAGTGAATTTCTTTTTATGTGTTCTAATTTTGATGATACAATTAATAGTTGATGATCCTGTAATATCCTTATTTTAAAATATGCACGCATGATCATCCATTTTTCTTGAAAGAGGGTTTTTCAAATCCTACACTCTGTCATCTATCATATTGATGTGATTTTTTTACAAATGTAATACCCAAGTCCCATTTTGTTGTCTGGTCCATATGTTCAATACGCTACAAATAGCTGCTGCAGCCCTCTGGCAGGTATTAAGTGTTGTGACGTTGCCATTACGTGGGTTCTGAAGTTCCAATGTGTATGATCGCTGTCTTCATACCTTTTTTCACCATAACGGTTTTTGGGCGACGAGGATTTATTTTTAAACCGAAATGACGAATGGAGTAGCAGCAGGGTTTCTTTAGTTCTTATTTTATCTTGGCTAAACATTTCCAGATCCGATCCCAGGTGGTTGTAATTTAGAATGGAGCCCCCCGTTAAGTCCATTTCTTAAAACTAGGACAATGTCGGCCTTTATCACTGTGGAGGCTGCTTCTCCTTCAATTGATGCTGATTGTAACATGGTTAACGAAGCCGACATTACTTTTCACATGATGTATCAATCTGAGATGAACTTTAATTCCGATGTGTACTTTACTGGCTTGAGGAATATGATGACTCTAAAGAATATCGAGAAGTATGGAACCGAAGTAAGTATCTGATATTATTAAGATTTATTAACTACAGGATTATTCACAGCAAGTATATACAATCGTACCGTAATAAGTCCGGGTCGGAAAAATCTAAAGACAAAAATAGGGTGTTTTCTATTTGTGTAAGCATATGCTATTGGTTATTTGTTTCGTTATGTAACTTTTTAGCAATAACACAATGATAAATATATTTTATTAGTATAATTTAATGAGTATGTAATTGTCCCTTACACACAATTTATTTCAGGGAGTTAGGGTACCCTAACCCTAGCTCTCGAGTATATTGAAAGTTATCAATTGGAGCCAATAGGAACCTCCTGAATTTTCTAATGAGATTGTCATGTAACACTTACATTTCTCTCACAGATTCCTCAAACGCATTTGCCGTCGCGACGCATGTTGAGTGCTTACCATGGTTTGCATGTAGTATTTGTGGCTGTAGCACGCAGAAATGACAACCAAAGTTTGTACTCCGTCTACGTGCCGGGACATAGCTATGGTTGTCCAGAAGTCAATGAAGATGGTTGCATGTTTTCCGGTAAGCTTGTCTTGCCCAACAAATGTAACTTGAAATCGCTTTGTGGTTGACGATAGGTAATTCATGTTCGGTATAACTTGAACTCTCATTGAATAGGCTTTCCTTGCAAAAAAGGTCATCATATCCATATAGTAGAGAGTTTTAATTTCTGTGCTGTGTTCACATATTTTTTACAGCTATAGCACATATTTCAGATGAATTATATTACGCGGCAAAATTGCATTTTACTGCCACTGGGAGTCTTAGATTTGATTTTCTATTTGCGTTTTTCTTATTTATAAATAATAATGTTAGCTTTCTCCATTTCTGTCTTTCTCAACACGCCATTCCATAAATATAAATCGGCTCATGTTTGACATTACATGCAAAGGGCTATAATTTAAGAAAATTGAAATGTACAAACTAAGTGCTCAAAATGGTGAGTTTGGCAACACTATTTTGCACAAAAATAACTTAAAAGTGTATAAAACATAATATAAGTGATCGATTAATACGTGAATATGCCAACATGTTGCGATTATTACTTGAATTGAGTTTTTCTTTGCAGACGATTTTGTTTCTGCAATGCTCTGTACTATTTTGTTGTTTGGTGGATTGTTCATGAGTATCTTTGGCCATCGATTCTTTAAAACCGAGATGTTCTTATCCGGATTCTTCAGCGGCTTCATTATAACCTATATATTGGTTATTTTAATGGATGACGGTGTTGGCACACAAGGTGAGTTATTTTTTTAAAACAAATTCTTAAAAAAATTACGTGTATTTTTTTTTCTGAAGTAGTCACACATTACAGGGCCGTTTAAGTGATATTTTGTTGATGTATTATAACATTTATGTACATTCAATCAAAAAAAAAACTTGGAAGATAAACAGCTACTCATGAAATACAAGAAAGAAAACTTTACAATGTACACTGATAGTGTAATCATATTCTGTCCTCTTGATGAATGTATGTGTAAGTTGTTGGTACGGTGTTGGTTGAAATTGCCTTAGTCTGAATAGAAATGCTCCCTGGTCAGAATTTTTAATTCGACCAGAAATACTTTTTCGATCAGAACTACTATTTTGTAAATGTTCACGCTATGGAGAAAATAATAGTTAAGTTCGTTTTTAGCTCTGGTAGCAGCATCAGTCTTGTCTGGAATATTCTTCGGAGCCATATGGTTGTTATTCTGGTGGCTTTATGGTATACCAGTTATTGCTGTATTATTACCAGCATTGAATGCCGGATTTATATGCGCTGCTATTTTCTATTATAAATTGCCAGGTAACATTTTTATTTTATTACTCATAAAGTAGAATATTATTTATGCATTCTGACGACGACTGCTAAGCCAAAGGTTGTGGGTTCGATTCCTACTTGTCTGGGTGTAATTTACAGAATTATTGTAAAGGATTCGATGTGTGCTCAATGTATCCTGCACTGTGATGTGATTTATTTTGATAAATAATCTCATTATTCTATTCTCTGAAGACTTAATCAAAATTTCCCTTTTTAGCAACTGTATTTTATTTCCAAAACGATTTTAATTTCTGGACGGTGTTCGTAATGATAATGGTACTGAGTGCCACGGCCATGGCTTTCGTGACTCACTCGTCAAGTATCCTGTGCTGCGCGTTCCTGGGTGGTTTCTGCACTATGTACGCCTTTGATTATTATTTGGGCTCAAATCTGAAGTATATCATAGTCAACACTGTGCGAAGGGCAGTTGTAGAAAACTTCAGTGAAGCGGTTTTAGCGCCACCGTTCATGACGAGGGGTAAGTCATTTTAAAATAAAATTAAGGTCATTTTTATAAGAACCTAGCAGCTGTAACCTGCCACGGTGGTTGTAAAAAATAGATAAAAAACCATCTCTGAAGCGTGTTGTTGTCGTGTTAAAAGTTTGAGCTTAATCTGTAAAGGACTTTTGTTTTGGTTTTTGAAGCGTACACAAACCAACCTTTTTAAATATATTATTATTAATATTTTTTACGGTATGAGGGGGCAAACGAGCAGACGGGTCACCTGATGGTAAGCAACTACTGCCCCCATGGACACCTGCAACTCAAAAGTCCCAAGTGCGTTGCTGCCCTTATACACGGTGATTTTTTAGGCGTTTTGGAAACGAAACATTTTAATTTGGAATCATCTATAGTACCAATAAAAATGATTAAACCAATTGTAATGTTGTCTAAAAAAAGTTTCAGTTTTAATATTCATTTTTACTCGATCGACTTGGAAAGTAGTAATGGACTGATCATTCATTCATTATCTTATATGAATGAAACACGTCCGTGGGCGTTTCGGCGGCCGCTGCGCACCGCTGACGCTAACAGCAGCTGATAAAAGTATACCTATAGGCGCGAGCTAGCGAGTACTTACGTAGATAGACTCCAATTTGTCCTTAATACTTTACACGGGCTTAGGATCGTCGGAAATACCTATTTTATTTAAACTTTTTTTCGATTATTAACCACGATTGTTCTTTTCACAACAAATCAATTTATCAACGGACTGTAGGTATAAATATTTCAAGCGTATTTAAAAAATCGGAGCTATCTACAGAATAATTAACTTACATACCTATTTACACTTCTCTGTATCGAAGCAACTGCTCAAAATGGAGTCCGCTGCATTCAATACACAAACGTCCACGTTTAATGCAATTGTTTTTTAATTTTCTTAATGTGTCTCTATCACTTTTCACTTTATCAAAAGCGTCCACTATCGCAATGCGTAAATTATCACGGCTTTCATATTCCCGTGTATAAACAAGTATTTTTATTTCCGACCATAAGAAAAAATCCAGGGGCGTTAAGTCCGGGCTTCTAGGTGGCCACGGCACTGGCCCTCCTCGACCTATTCACCGATCACTAAACTCATTGTCCAGGTATGCCGCACTACACTCCGGCGAATAATAATTTAAACGCCCTTGACCTTGCGCGTGAGTATAGAATTTCTATTCGTAGTATTTACCTACTTGCGATTGAAAAGCCCTACTACTGGTTCTCACCTTTTCTCTGTAATCGATATGAATATCGACTTTGATGATAAAAAATATATATATTATTAAATTAACGTTATATATAGCTTCTGTTACTGATAAATAACTCAAAATTTTCTTTTCCAAAACGCTTTCAAAATCACCGTGTATAGATAGCTTATGCCAATATATAGATTTTTTAGCCCACAGATAAATATGCTATTCTTAGTGTGTTTTGCTATCGGCGCACATCACGCATACCTAACGGTTAGAGACTAAAATATATAATTGATCAATCAATTTTTATTTACATAGCCTTTTTAAGTTTCTGTTTGCTCTCAGAATATTGGTCTAAATTCAACAGGATTTAGGATATAATGACCAGGATGTATTTTAACTCTCCATGTAATGCTTTTTGAGGTTACCAAGTTTTAATTATAAAATGTTAAATTTAAATACATTTTATAAAAAAAAACTTCATCTGTACAAAATTCGATCTGTTTTCTGTTGTATACTAGGTATATTTCATATATATAAGTATCAGTGCATATTTCATAATAGGAAAGAATTTTGTAACAATATCCTCCCGCGCGGAACAGTACTGACAGCTATTTATAAATTTACGGATAGTGACTTTATTCTAATTAATTTAGTTCGTAGGTACCTACTTATATATTACATATTGGTGACAATATTTTATGTTGTGTTATGTATGCCAGTTATAAAATTCTGTTTTGTTTTGTTTTGTAAAACAGAACGGAATTTCATAACTATAACATAGGCATGCTTTTTTAATAATCCCAAATAAGCAGCATCTTCCAGCGTTTCTAAGCCTGTTGGTGTAGTGGTTAGTGACCCTGACTTCTAAGCCGGAGGTCGCGGGTTCGATTCCCACCCAGGACAAATACGAGTATTTGTGTGATGAGCACGATCATTTGTTTTGTGTCTGGGTGTAATTTACCTATAATATATATGTATTTAGAAATATATAAATACGTTTATCAGCAGTCTGGTTACCATAGTACAGGCTCTGCCTAGTTTGGGATCAGACGGCCTTGTGTGAGATGTGTGAGGGTATTATTATTAAGCAAAGTATTGCTTGTTCTGGACAAATCACTTCATTTTACGATCGCTTTGAGTGTAAGGACAAAATGGCTTCGAAGAACCAACCAACCCTTCCAACGTATAAGGCTGAGATTAGGCTGCATATTGAATATCCTTCTCATCTCTGGGTAGGGGCACCCCAGTGCCAGTTTCACCCCCTGGACATTCAATAGAGAGAGACTCGTATCGTCAAAGGGTGATAGCGCACATTGGACTCTTCAGTAGCAGGTGACCAAGAGCGAAGGTGATCGCCTACCATCAGATAACCGTCTGCGTGCTTTCTCCCTACGTCATATAAATATCATAGTACAAAAGAGTTTCGTAACTACCGAAGTAGTTCCTTTATAATCATCTTTTAATTATATTACCATCCACCTAATATAGATAAACCAGTATGTCGAGATGTTGTATTAGATCCTATCTATACAACGGATCCGCATTTTGTAACTGGCTGGTGATATTTACTTAGAATTCTAAAAATAAATAATTTAAAAAACAGCCCTATTTTAATGTTTCTTTTTCTGTACGTATGTATATTTCTTTGACACGCTCTGCAGCCTAAACAGCTTGATGCATATTGGTGTGTTCGTGGGAGTGACAGCATATGAAAAAAAAATCGCCGGTAGGCAAATTTTAAGTAAAAGCGTGAAACTGTATGGGAATTTTTACTTGGTGCTTAGGAATATTAAAACGGAACATCTTCCGTTAGGCGACCTTAATCGTCAATGACAAAATAGTCTACATATAGTACAATTTTCTCCTTACTTTACAGAAATACTGGTCACCCTTTTATGGATTTTTGTGTCGTCATTGGGATGGCTGTTCCAACTCTGGGACAACAAAGGCAGGCCGCCATTCCCCCCACCACCGAGGAGCACGCGGTTGGCTGTACCTGAATCGACCATGTATGGGGCTGTGACGGATTATGCCAGGCGGTATGATACCTTACCTAAATCTATCTTCATTTATACAAAAATATTGATTTTTATGCAATCCAGACACATATGTACATTATAAACACTCAATTTTTTTTTATTCCACTCTTGTTCGAACAGGTTTTCTGGTAGACAATAACGCCTATAGCGGTAAGGGGGGCCATGGCATTTTCAGTGTTTTTACTTTTTTTTTGTTTGTGCATATTTTGTTTTAATAGATATGAGTATATATATGATATGAGTAGTATATATATAAAGAGTAAAATATCTTCACTTGATTAAGCCTGCTTCGACTCGAGGGAACATACTCATACTACGTGCTGGTTCAGGGAAAGGAGGGCTTTTTCGTCACGTGGTCCGAGTGGAGACATTTTTTTGTTTTGTTTTAGATTATTATTATATTTAAAAAATATTTTTATGAATCACTACGTGAAAACTAGAGGGGTCTTAAGGTCGTATATCATGCTTAAAATTTAAATGTGTCACCTAGTATTGGCACGTTCCCTTAGGTAAATCTAATATGTAAAATTATCGTGTCACGGTGTGCGTGGTTGAACTCCTCTGAAACGGCTCGACCGGTATATGGCAACACAAAGTTTGCCGGGTCAGCTAGTATAGATACAAAAATTATATATAAAATGTAAGTATATTAAATTAAGCCGGACCACTCTTTATTTTAATAGGAATTCATAAATTTGCAATATATGTATTTAGGCCAGTTAATTTTCCTGTCGTAGTTTGACGTCAGGTAGAAATCCGGCCATAAAAAAACACCAGGCCATCGTACCTAACCTTTCCCTAATTGGTCATAATATAGGAGCATTGAAGTATTTAAGTAATTTGAAGTTTAGAAGCATACTTTGTTAAAAGTGAATTATTGTAACAATCTATTCTAATATGTCTTATTGGAAGTCAGTGATGAGACTGACTTCCAATAAGACATATTAGACATATTATACAAGCAGTGGAGTCTTATAACTAAAATACTCAGATCAAATAAAAAAGTTAAGATGGTACTCTGTGAACCAAGAAGTGAGGCCAATTAAAACGACGCCTTGGGGCGTACAACTGTACATACTGAATTATACGCACACACGTACAACGAAACCACGCCTTGACAAAAACGTCAACAATATTTACAAGTAAAAATGCTGAATTGTGTTGTACACTTTCACAACACTTCTAAAAAGCTAACAACAAGAGATATATAGAAGGGATGGAGTCGCATCCACACATAAGTAAGCGTAAAACGATACTTTTAATACAATACAACTATAATGGCAGCACCGGCGCACGCACACATGTTTCTAAAGCCGGCCTCACTTCGTTCTTCTCAAAGTTCCATCTTAACTTTTTTATTTGATCTGAACTAAAATAATGATGAATGACAATTGATAAGTAAAGTGGTTAATCTTATATTGCAGGTTATACCCTCAAGGTGTCACTTCTAATACTCAGTCGTCAGGCTCACCAATATTGGCCAGGCCGAATTCAGAGAGAACACCACTGATGTCTGGCACCAACAACTAACATTTCATTAAAACTAGTCGCAATGGTTTACATTCCAAAGTGAGTTTGAGAATTTTCATTTGATAATTAACGAATAACAAAACGATGCACAATTATAAGATTTCGTCAATTTTGTTGTATCACTGTCACTTTAAGGTAAAAAAGACTGGTCATGCTAGACCATATCTGATAAACGATTACCGTTTGATTATTTGTATATACCTACAGTTGTCAAAATATTCCCGCCATAAAGGCTATAAATGATGCCTGCTTTAATATATTTAACTCTATAATTCTAAAAATTATATTAAAAACTATGGATATTTTTTAAATATTTGTTTAATTGCTAAATGTATTTTCATTTTTTTTATTTAATTATTTTTTTTAGACTTCCTTTCAAGGGTATGTACCCAAGTTCTTTGTGTCCGTTTCATGAATGTTTGTAAAGTCCCTCACGATACAGGACGTATTCCTAGTGCGGTGTCTTTAAATAAAAACATTTTTAAAATGTTTGCCTGCATGTCTATATATATATATATATATATATATATATATATGTGAAAATATCCAGAAAGGTTACACTGATTTCTACTAGACTTTCACTGGTTATAGTCATGTAACAAAAACAACTTGGTATATTTTTATTTAAAAAAATCATAAGACCGAATACGAGTACGAGTCTTACAAAAATTACAATTATCATCATAGATCTATGATAGAGTAGAAGATTCTCGAAGTCCAAAGAAATATTAGTTACTCCGTCGCCAAAGAATACCTAACTCCATTTATGTTTATAAATTCGGTCAATATGTTGAGAAGATAGATAACTTTAACTGAGTGACGTAGAGACCGAAATGACAGGCAGTTTCACTTATAGAGTTAGTAGAGTAGAGAGTAATATCTCAAGAAAAGTTCATGTAATCAACGAAAACCGTGTTGCAATTACAGACTATTGCAACATTTTAATCTATCTTCAAATGCATATCCACAGACCTTAGGTTCATTTCATATTGATTTTTAGCAAAACAATATTTAAATAGTGCTTTGTATTTTAATGTATCCAGTTAACATTGCCGACTGAACATACTCCTCCAAGGGGTTATTCGCTCCAGGTTCTATTTATTTACGGCCAACATTCTTAAAATGAAGAGTAGGAACGGAGTGAACCAAGTATAGCAAGAGTCATTTTCCATTCTTAAAGATGTATTTCCCCCAGTCACTAAATTATCTAGTATTTTTTTTAGTTTGAACTCAGTTCGGCGCACTTCTGGGTTGATCTCGGCATGTAAGCTTACCCGTATGTGATAGTTCTTAAAATAAGTGTATTTAACAATAACATATCTTCTTATTAGGGTCGTTAACGCTTTAGTTAAGTCTAAATACATCGTGGGTCAAATATTATATGCGGTTGTTACCCCCATGACTTTGTTATGTAAAATAATGTTTGTTTATCGATATATAAAATGTAGTCCGTAAGTTTTAACCTTGAACGACGCAGTCACAAATAGTTAAGAACTTTATTACCTGTTGTGAGCATCTCGTGTTGTTAACCTACTTCAGAAACAATGTATAGATTGTCATGTATTTTTGACTGCGTCGGTCAAAAATATTATTATGCAATCATATCAAAAGCTTGTAAGACTGAATGTGACATTATTGCAATGAGTGTACTATGTCATGCTATTAATAAATAAATATGAACTATGGAAATCGTTTCATTGTAAGTAATCAATTCTGTTTGAAACTCCGTTCCGTCAGAGTACACCGTCTGCCTCTTTAAATATATGGAGTTACAGAAGGTGGAAAAATAGTTTGGTTTCGATCCCGTAGGGCAGCTTCATTTTGAATTTAGGAATTTTTAAGTATTATAAATTTGAGTTACTTTGTATCAGTTAATTTGTTTATTTTAGGCGTTTGCTTTCAAACTTACCTGATGGGCCGGCCGTGTGCCGATTTACGACAAATCTATTTACTTGAAACGTTGACTAATGACGCTCATTTACTTGAATGGTATATAACCGGTTTAAAAAAATTGTGTGACCTCGCAATTTATCAGTTTCAAATTGACTGAAAATTATTTTATAACTACTATTAAATTGTTAATATTATATTTAAGTCTTTAAAGTTTGGTCATTTTTCTAGTCTGTCTAGCAGTTGTAAAATACTTATATAGTTGTATTGATAAGATATTTTTCTCCATTATGAGACACTTTTGTGATTACAGAAAAGTAAGTCAATTTCCTACTTGGAATCCACTACGAATTAGTTTCATATTTAGTTAAAAAATATATTTCCAACTCAAATGTGGAAAGTGACATTAAAGACAAAGATGGTACACAACTATTCACTCTACTATTGAATACTCCAGCATTAGAACTGTCTGGAAAAATAAACGCAGGCAGTTCATTCCAAACTTTGGTGACTCGAACCAAAAAATACTTAGCTGTTAAATCTTTTAGTTCCAAATTCCAATTGTCAAATACTTTTTGGTCCCAATGAAGTAATGTTGAATGTCCAATTACGTACGCTCATCCAGGCTAATCTTTAAAAAACCAGGAGCTGACGATTTTTAGACGATGCTTAAGAATATAAAGTGCCGTTTTCGTGAGCACATGATGGTTTATAAGCTGGCAAGCTTTTTGATCGACAGAGTCTAGAGCTTCAAGTTGATATTCAGTTGAGCCATCCTGTGCTGAAAAACGATTAAGCAGCTGTCTTGACTCTCGATTTTTTTAATCAGTCTGAGCCATAATAAATTAATTACAATAATGACATAGGATCGCGAGACAAATGTTTAAATCTCGCTCCAACATGACCCCCGAAATACCGTCATACAAGATTAGCCATTCAAATCAAACGCATTCGATAGATAGGGGACGAGACAAAATGTAAACCAATTAAAAGCGTTGATAATCTGCGCATTTGCTTACTGCGTAGGGCGCTCCTGAATGCGTGGTTTGGATAGTACAGTATTGTTTGAATGTTTGTGTATTATCGTGATTGCAATCCACCTTACAGCTTTGTATGTGTAAAAATAATTATTTTTCTTTAAAGAGAGAGAATTGTGTGAAACTTAAGATTAATGTACGTGAGAGTGTTTGGACTTCCAGGCAAAACCCAGTTTGAGTCCCAGGCATGCGACCTTCTCCTGTTCGATTACTTACACACCAATCAATGCATACAGGCAATTTATGTTGCTTTCTGTTGTCTACCCCTATCTACTTTTCCATTACTCTATGTAGAGGTATACTCTGAATAAAGATTTTCTATTTTTCTACGTTTTCGATTACCGCTTGACCCTTATAATGGCACCAAATTATAGTTCTATAGCAAAATTTGGGTGTTTATTTCTCCTCTGTCTACTCAATATGTAACTAAGTATAATTTATGTTAACAAAGCTGAACGCATTTTGTAGTACGTCATTTTAATTTTATTATAATGGGAAACCCATTTTATAAACATATTTTAATACACCAGTTTCCTTAATGTTGAATAATTATACCTAAATGTAAGTACCGATGAGCAGGCAATTCGAAATAAGTTATTATTACACTCTGCTGCTTACTATAATACCTTCAATACAACACGTTAAATCCCATCCCATTGTTGTGGCCCCCTGCGTTAGGGTGCAACAAAGTTAACCGACACAAAATTAATATATACCGCCCAAGTATATTAACAGAATAATTTTATTGTCTAATTTTTAGGGTGGCACCACTGTAGTTACGCAAGAAGAACTATTTTCCCGCTATTTGACACAGATGTACAGATTATAAAGATTTTATCTATATCGTTATTAGGTTGTCAGAAATATAATTTAAAAAATTGATTAAAGTGAATAAAACAATAAAAATGGTTAATGCAATATTTATTAATAAATTTCACTGTAATTTTCTCAATCTATATGCACTTATATCGAGTAATAATTTATTTTACATTAAATCTCAAACTAAATTACATACATTACTGTAACGCCTATACCACTTCCATATTGCATTTCTTAATGAAAATATAATTAATATACATATTTATAAAGTGATACATTAAACAATAATTTGTGCTGTTCGCCAGCACCGAGGTGAAAAAATGTGACAGGAATATGTGAGCCTCTCTGTACTAAAGCTAAACCCATTGGTACATGCAACTTATTGTACTGCAAGTAGCTGTGGTACAAATATATCCCAACAGTTATTGATACAAATACTCAAATGCTACTCAATTCATGATTATAATTGAGTAGCATTTAATCGCGTGGATTTTCACTGTTTTGTTAATTTAAATTTCAGAAAACTCTTTGATTTTTTGGGCTTGTCAAATCTTTCTTGTGGTATTATTACCTCAATCTTATTTTGCATGAAGATTACAGATATTGGTGATTAAAATTAAAAGTGTTATAATTCGTTAACGCCATAATGGTATGTTGTACCGAAGTAAGATTAGGTTTTAACTTATTTTCACGTATTTGAGGGTAATGTTTGTGTATGTATAAAATAAAAATACATCCTAGAAAATGTACAATAATTTATGATTCTAACTGCTTTTAGGAATGAAAATAAATAGGTTTGTTATCACAATTAAATAAATTATCAATATGTAAAAAGCATTCATTCGATATAAAATTAACAATATATAGTTTTTAAGAGTGAAATTATTTGTGAACGTGTAGAAACATATATGTGTTAACATAATCTACTAATCCTATAAGTATTTAATCACAGCAAAATTCACCTTAATTTTTACAATCAATAAATAATAAATTAATTTGTTCCGCGGTGTGCTAGCAGTGAACGGAGTTGACACGTTACGTACAACATCTATTTAGTAACAATATTATACAAGAGTCATCACAATAGTAACAAACATTATTAAGTTGTATTACAATTTGTTGCTGACGATAGGGGAGAGAAACAAACGCGATAATGAATGCGTTTTTTCTCTATAGCGTTAATATTTCGCACCCCTACTGCATACATCAAAGAAATGAAAAGGGTTGCGATCGCAAAGGGCGAATAACACTCGATTATTACAAACATTGGCACAAACAATTTACATTTTATTCTCCCGCCAAAGACATTCCGGCGACCATTAAAGAAACTTTCACTACTCGACAATAGATGGCGCTTTTATATATTTACAATTGCGTGCTATTGTTTTACTAGCTTACTATTTTACAGACCGTACTCAATGAAACATGCGTAAAAGAGTAGTTTTTTCATGTGTAGATTTTAAAGATCAATTCGGCAGTGCGCAGCATACGTCTTTGTGTACGGTCGCTCACTTACTCTACGTTTGAACATCATCAGTTGCCTCTTAATTTTAACGATTAATCCGAAAACTATTGTACAAAATTAAAATACCTTGCACCATTTAGAACATAAATCTCACTAACATAAAAAACAATATCGGACTCATGTTGACCAATTAAACGAACACTGGGCACACACTATACAGTCTTACTTAAACACTTAGGATACTGCATTGTTTTGTTCTTGTAAATCTGCCGCTAAAACATTGGCGTCATGGCCGGCAGTCATGTTGATAGCGTTCATAGACAAATGGGAGTCGGCGTAGTTGTGCGCAATTTCGCCTCTAGATGGCGACTCCGGTATGTTGGTCGGGTTCTCAGGCATCGACAGCAGTCGATGCGGGAACCCGAATAGCTGAGATCACTGAAGCCTCCCCCAGTAGTTTGATGCGAGGTCCGGCCCCTGCGATGGTATTTGCACTGGCACGCTTACGCCCGCCGATATTACACCTATGGAACAAAGGGCGACCATGTTAAAAGAAATAAGCATGTAAGACATTTTGTGTAAGAGAAGTTATTCTGAGAGTGTTTGCTACCGTTAACACAACAACCGTCTAGTTGTGTGGCAGTAATATTATATTATTTCCAAATTAAAAAAAAAGTGCTTGCATTTAGAAAATAATTTAATTCTAATTATGTTTCATAAAACTAAACGTTAACTTCATTTCCTTCTGATGAGACTAGACATATCAGAATCTCTTTAGAAATACAAAACAAAAATTTGATTAATTAGACAATACTCAAATGTATTTAGTACCATAATTCGAAAATTCCTTAATCCCAGTACACGTATTTGAAATTGTCAGTTAATACTCGTAGTTTGAACATGCAATAACTAAACGTACTCGTATCAGCAGCGCACAATCAAACGTGAAACCTATTACCGTTATGTATCAATATCGGGCGGGCCATATGTCTAATAGGATTCCGATTGCATTCCGTTTATTACACACAATCGCGTTATCTATGCACCGTAGGCTCCCCACTTCGATTATGTCACGTCAAGCCAATAATGGTTCAGTCATAAAGCCATCCGTGTTTGTAACTGACGCATGCCATCATATACTGTGTGAGCGTGTTTAGCTACACGACACGCGTTTATCGTATAGATGTTAAAGTTGAGCTTTTATAACTCGTAGAAAACTTTTTTGAAACGAAGTTCCTTGAGTGAGACCGAAAAATGTGTAACAAGACTTTTATCCGACACCTCAGTTGACACGTCGACGCTCATATCTTTTTCTTATTTCAAATATAGCAAACGTCTACTAAAAAGCGAAATGAACTTCGATCCGACTAGGGGTCCATAGGACCCTCACGCTGTTTTTGATAAAAAAATATATGTCGATTTACTGTCTATTAGATTTTTTTCTTCTTATACTTTTTAGGTTTAAATATTCTGAATGTTCTATTAAAGTTTCTATTAAAGTTCATTAAAAAATAAGTGCACATATAATGTGAAAAAATATTGACCTCTCCTTATTACTGACACAAAAATGTCACGTTAACGACAGAATATGCTCCACGTATAGATGTTATATATCCGTTATTACCCCGATCGCATAGCGCGCGTGTGGCAAGCCGATAACAGTTTTCCGTTCCGCCGGCGTGACATGAAGGGGTACCTCCGTTTACATTCATTACTCGTTATTATCGCCTCTAAACAATCCTCCCGAGGCTTGTTTAGTCAATGGTTTGTCGATGATCGTTTATTGTAATTTTGCTACTATAAAGGTTTAAATAGAGGTTGAAAATACCTATACCTATAAGAAAATGTATGAAAATGGATTAAAACGTAATAATAATCTGAAAATGAAAAATATTTCATACAAGGCGAGATTCTGAAAAGAACCGGATCCAAAAGGCTAAAAGTATAACAAATCCGCATTATTTAATACCGCACGAAGCTGGAAATGCACCCGTCGAAAGAGCCCAAAAGAGTAAATGAAACGAGAGCGTGCATTTTGAATTGTGAAAAACTCCTTTGTTCGCGGTTAGCGTTGAAAACTCGGCAGACGAACAATGCCGCGAAACGCCCCCAAACAACAATAATTCATACCGCTTTCCGCCACCTACGGCTAAAAATGTCCGCCGAGTGATATATAATATTAAATGGAAAAGTTACGGCTTTTTAAAACAATAGCAGTGCCAGCATCTCCATGTTTACTATTTTTCTGAATAATAAACATCGTTCTTCGTGCTTAGTATACGTTTATGTATATAAAGGTACGATTAATTTAAAATTGCATTAGGTTATTTCACATTTCCACATCTACTATCTATTTCCAGAATCAATTCAAAAGCTATTTGTAAAGCACAGACAATGGCAAATCCAATCGGAGCATGAATACCTATTTTTTCCGTTTTTGTTTCCCCCATCATGTCGCGGTCTTGTGGGCCAGACGCCCCTAGCTCTTGACTCAGCATTTTTTTTACATTTTATTACGAAGTTGGTAAATATTTTGCAAAGCTCGTTTCAATTGTGTCGATTTTGTAGCGTTCCTTTACTTTATTTTTTCGTTATATGTTTGTTATTAAAGCTTAGACTGTATTTTCCGAGGTGTTTTCTTGTTTCTCATTTCATCTGTCTGAATATACATCTTTTCCAGCTTTAACTAATTAAATTTATACCTGTTCAGTCTTAATTAAATTTGGAAATGCGATTACTGGGGCGGTTATGTTAGTTATGTATTTTCAGGAAATCCTTCCAGTTTAGGAACATTCTAAAAAGCAATGATAAAAATAAGCTTTTGGCCCAACTCATTATAAACTTTTATTGGTGTCCTAGCCACTATATTCAACAGAAATACAATACTAGTCTTGACCATAAAGGAACTGGAACGAATATTTTATTGTAAAGTTTTACTTTCCTCAGTCCAGAATTCTGCCTTTACTTAATCCAAAACCTTATATTAAACCAGGGTTACAAACTCACCAGTACTAGGAGCTGCTTGAGGCTGTGAATATGCTGCATGCTGTTGATGAGCGGCGGGTGCTCTTGAGTAACCGCCGCTGCCAAGCACGTCGCCGAACATGTACGGGTACCCGCCGTCCCGCTGCTGGAGGCACGACGATGTCAGCCCACCGGACATCGAACTGTCGGAAAGTGCATTGTCAATATAATGGTGGAAAATAAAAATAAATGAAATTTATGACTGTGGTCAAGTATTGTCTATGATTTCATTAAAAACTTAATTGTTTTTGAGTGACACGAATACGAATTAAGAAAAAAACTCGTACCACAAATAGCAACTCATTTTATCATAGCAATTATTTGGTTATTTTATCAATTATACACATATGATTCCAATAAAACAATATAAATAAATAACCTAAAACGTCTTTGAACCAACAAAAATACATTATTCAGCCGCCACGCCGTGACGAAAATAAGACAAAATTTTTAAATAATTGTTTGAAAATGCACAATTATATTTTTGAACATAAAATACGAGAAGTAATTAAAAGAAACAATTCATCAGATTGTAGAGATTATAAAATTATTCTGGTTTTTGTCATTGTGTATGATGGTTAATATGTTCGGATGTAGAACGCCTTCTCACTATTAAAAAACAACCGAAGTGGAAAAGCCGTCACATTAGGCGTCGTGGTGGGAAATGTAAGAAGGCGCGACCTGTGCCGCTCGACTTCGCGCTCAATTTAATTAGTGGCGCCGCTCGATGATAGATGGCGATACCGTATGACTTAGAATTTTATTTAGCTTTCATTTCTTTTATTTCTAAATCCATCATACATGATATACCTATGAAATAATACCTATACATAGGTATTATTTTAAATAGGTTCTCAGTTATGAAGCTGTTATATATGTATCTATGTAGTGAGGTAAGAACAGTGTATTACAAATTGGAATGATGCACGATAATCAGATACACAAAACTGTATAACTCCTAGAAACTAGTTTGTTTACTTTGGAATCTATGGTAAATAAATTTATATTTAGGTTTGGTCTGTCTGTAAGCTCAGTTGTACATTTCTCTAGCGCTCAGTGGTCTTGCTGCTGAACCAGAGCTCGTGGGTCCCATTTCCACACAAGACCAAAAATTGTGTGTATTTTTTATAATTATGTGTATTTAGAAAACATGGAGGCATGTTTATCAGCGGCCCTGCCTAGTTTGGGATTATAGTGCCTTAAATTATTAATATTATTATTGTGTTCATTAAGTTAAAAATAATGTCAATTACATTTTAAATACATTTGAATTAAAAAATATATTAAAAAATAACAATTAAATTATTGCTTTCATTTATTTATGATTATTATTATCTATAGCACGGCAACCAAGAAGTTTTCTAACATCCTTATACTAGTATGGTGAAGACTTTTTCGTTTCGGTATTTGATTTTTTAAGTCACTGTAAAGCTGAGTGCTGATTGCTCGCGAATGAAAGAGACATTACCCTCTTCGTGTCTAATACTGCTAATGGAGATCCTGTGCTACAGTCTAGAATCAACAAGCGGGTAGCAGCAGTAACGAGTAGTACCTACGATAAGAAATGGCGTTTTATTTGGATTCACATCATCACATCAACAGCCTTTAATAGTCCACTGCTGGACAGAGGCCTCTCCTTAGAAAGGACGGTTTATTTGGACTCGGTTACAGCAATTTTACCCATTTCTGATTTTTCTCAGATTAACTTCAGAAGCAGAAGCAGTCACATTTCTTTTACTTTAACGCAAGGGTACACTTACTGTGGCTTTAATCACTTGAATATTGTACCGTCAGTCTCTAATTTAGCATAATTTAGGATGAATGGATATTAATAAAATATCTCAGAACAGATTTTTACTCAAACAGAAGTTAGTAGATCACTGATTATATTATTATGGACTTTAATTCAGATTCCATAAAATGACTTTTACCCTAGCGCTGATAATCTAAGTAACTTATATGTATCTTGATGACAATAGGCACGAATATTATGGAGGTACCATGGGAGAGCCACCGAGCGAGTGACGTTACTGGGGCCAAACTTTCCTACCTCCTGGTGCTAGGGGAAAGACTCAAATGGCCGCGACACACACATGACGGGCGGCGGTACTCACAACCAGGTAACACGTCTGCTCGTTGTATTATAAAAATAGGTGTCTACCATATCGTCAACAGCCTTTACTAGTCCACTGTTGGACATAGGCCTCTCCTTAGAAATTAGGTTTTGGCCTATTATAGTGGCTGGTATAGGATTTGTGTTACGTTTTCCTTCGCATTGCGGTGCAGGACAACACTTGCGTAAGTTGCTTCCTTAGTTGGCTCTTACGACACCCATGAGATGAATAGGGGTGGTGACACTCTGTATTCTTAATCCGTCCACACGGACAATAACGGATATCTACAAGGAACTGAATATTATTTTCTCTAAAATATTATTCCTCATAAGCTCACCTATAAGAGTCGCCCATAGTGGCGATGGGTTGCGGGATGGGGCTGTACATGGAGTTGAAGCCTCCGTTGAGGGGGATGCGCGGCGTGGGGGGCGCGGGCGGAGACGCCGCCGGAGCGTCGCGTCTCTGACTCCGGAGCTTCTCTTCGCGCCGCCATTTCGCTCGACGGTTGGAGAACCAGACCTGATGGAGAATTTTCACATTAGTTTTGGACAATAGTTGCTACCTGGATGTTCCACGTTTCAGTTTATTAATGCTTAAAGTTTAATGTTAATTAGCTTTGTTTTAGTTGATATGCTTGTGTTCTATTTCCAATGAGAAGTCAATCTGCAATAAGATTTTAACCATTGCAATACAGGATAAGATGTAGTATCGTTTATTATGAGGTTAGTTTTTGTGAACTGTATTAAGTATAGTTATTATTTATTTATTTATTATGATAATTAATGGTATATTTCTAGATGTATCCATTATACACAAAGATGGAGGCTATAAAGTTATTATTAGAATCATTAAAAATCAAATTTGCATACTCTGTTAATTTACACGTTTTCATACTATTCATAATTACAATACGGAAACCTCTTTTCTATTTAGGTTATATTTCATCCGTTAAAGTTGTCCGAATGTAGCCGGAGTTCTAAACAATTAACGCAAACGGAGCATGACCACTATATTGTGACATTGAACTGCGTGAAACGGAATTCATCCCCGGAAGCAACCCTCACGTGCGCGTCACTTCCGCCGGCAGCCATGGCGACGACAATATGGCGCCCGAAGCCTTCCCGCGCTTTGTGAAGGCGGGCGGACTTGCCACTCTTGTGCATAATATAAAACTATGTATTTGAAAACTACCTACGGTGTGGCAGTTTCTTAGTGAAACTAATTTTGAAAAGAATATTTCAACACTGAAATATTGTAAATAAATATTTTCAACGTAACGAAGATTTTGTATATATTTTACTTATTATGCAAGACAAGGCAGCGTAAATAGAAAGATAGGATTTAAAATGTTGTCTTCAAAATCTAAACTGTGTACCAGTGTACTCGAAATTAATGTAAATTACGACAAATATTTTAACGGAAAACTTTTGTTTTGATGGTCGAATAGTTATTATTTACTAGAGATTACGCCAATAACTATAAGAACATAGCTGGTACGTAGGTACGTTGTATTTCTTCGAACGAAAAACCTTGCAAAAAGGTTGACTGTAGAAGCAATATGTCATAATATTATTGCTCGGATAGAATCGCCAAAATGTTGCCGACAATATTTTATTGGGGCCCCCGCGAATCCACGCGGAGGGTTGGAATAAGCTGAGTACACAATCGGTATTGTTACGTAAACGTCATGTGTTTTAATAAAACTATGTGTCGTGAAGAATATAATAATATCCAACTTTAATAACACTTACAATAAAAAGTTCTGGTTACATAAAGAAAAGTTTTGTAGAAGACCACGTTAAACCTATGCTCATAAGTCTCCTATTCTCTCTTGATGATCTTCATTTTGGGTTCTCCATTCGTGTCGCAGATGTACAAATTGAAAATATCAGGTATTCAATAATTTTATAGATTTCTGTATAAGGTTATTTTGTTTTCATTTTACAATATTAGTTTTAAACTATTGTAAGCTTTATGAGTTAGTAAAATATTATTCGGTACCACGTATACGTAACCACGGAATTCAACGAAATTATGGAAATTTTACCCAAATTAAAATTTATTCATATACGAACTACACTATGCATGGACATTCCTGCAATTCCTATTTGTATGTTGTCATATAACAAACAAAATTGCAGTAATAATTTCCAAGCATTGCTCGTGAGAACATATTAATGTAAAGTTTTTTTTACTTTGACTGTAAACAGTTCGTATTCAATGTAGTTTTAAATCTCCACCCGTTTCGTGTCGGAACTGTCTTGTGTCCCTTGCCTTATGTTACGCTAAAATGTAGTGACGTGTCTCATTTTTTTCCCGCGCCACCGTCTATAGATATTCCTCCATGACAGCGATGACAGGCCTTTTTCCCGCCTCTCAGCTATTTCCCGCGGCCTTTTACAAATTGTAGTCGTACCCTCATAGTTGGGTTGAAAATAAAGTTACCGAGGGTTCCTTACCAAATGGGATTTCCCATAATTTTGTTATACAACCAGCCAGTTGCGGGCAAGTACTTAATTGTTTTCTCTAGTAAATTTTGTTTATATTAATAAATGTTATGTTGATAATGTATTATAAATGTTTTAATTGCAACTACAGTGAAGTTGTTTTACCTCCGTACAAAGTTAGCTAATTAGTGCCCTGTAGATATTTCGAGTGCCCGTGTTAATGTAGGATCTGGTTTTAATGTAGGATTATGCAATTTCAATAATTTTGTATGCAGTTTTGTATAATAATGGACTAATTTTTTTTTCAATGAAATGTTTTGTAAAAGTCTGCTCGTTTGCCGCCTCTTTTATAAAAGATATACATAATTAAGACTATGTGTGTGAATACACTTACCAAAGATATTGCTAGGAGCAGTACTTTCTTTCATTCAGGATTTATTTATTTAATACCTTTAAAATATAGTTAACATAAAAATATTAAATAGAAGATAAATAATAGGTGTATACCTATATACTCGTATCTATACCATAACAATACTTGAATCTCCTCTATTTTAATCCTAATTGGACCTTATTCTTTACAACATAGAATACATTTTGGTATATTATGATAGTAAAAATGTTAGATACGGGTGCCAATTTTTCAAAACACCGCCCCCGCCCTGGCCGGAAACGCACCCCCGCTTCCTGTAGGCCCCAGGATCGATACCTCAGCAGTCGACTATTGTGACTATGGATGCGTGAAAAATACTTGGGATAAGTCTCAAATGTATTTAATTTGCATGAATATAAAAAAATGACATTGTTTTATTAATAAATGTTTATCTTTTTTTTCTACAAATTTTATTCAAGCGAAAAAGTTACCTGCAGTGCGCATATTTTCAATTTATAATTAATCATGGTTTTGCAGTTCTTTATTTATTTTGATGATTAAATTATCATTTTCCGGTTAATTAATTGATAAAAATAAAAAGTATTACAGCAAAATATTTCCATAGAATTAACTAGAATGTTTTAGCGATAGACTCTCAGTATTTGGTTTAAATTGCACTTAGCTTGCACTTATTTAATTTCATACACCACCCACACATACAATCACATACTTCATACATTATTGTGCTAAAATAATATAAACATATATAATTTAATTTAATACTTACAACTTTTTTTTAATATTAGTTCTTTAAAATGCCTATAGTATGGGGTCCGTAAGGTCACGGTTCCGTCACAAGGATCGACCCCGCGACACGTGGGGTCCCACCGAATACCAAATTATGTTCCCGCTATTCCTTGAAAGCCTAAATCGTTTCATATTTAAACCAAATTGAACTTTAAGCTCACACATTCAAATTCAATAACGTTTGGAAAGTGTACAATAATACATTTACGCATAGGGTTGTTATTCATTTAAAATCTGAAATTATTTTATTCTATGAAATAATGTAAACTCGTTTCATAATTTTACACTTATAAGTTACTTTATAATATTCGTATTTGCAATTTGCCCTTTTTGCTTACGGCTTTGCTTAGCTAGCGTAGACTGCTAGTCAGTATACCTCTCGGCAACGTAAACAGGCAAGTTTGATGATAGATGATAGTATAAAAGCGTAATAAATCTATTGAATATGATTACTAATTAAGGTTTAAAAAAATGTAAATGAAAAAGATTTATTTTTTGTAAACAAGTTCTACTTAAATGTAGAACAAGAGAACGCATAGACTAAAAATGTAACAATTAGAATATTTAAATCCCCTACAAGCCCGCAAAGACCCCTAAGATCAAACATTCAACCCTGGCATACTTGTTGACCGTGTGACGTTGCACCACGTTCTACGAATGTTAACTAAGGCACGACGAGAGGTTAATGTAACAGCTTAGCCCCGACTCCCGCTGAAAACAATGTTCTCCGCCGCCATTTTGCTTTTTTACTTTTTTCTCGCGCACAAAGCGTACAAGAAAACTCTTTGGAACTTTCCTACTTTTCATGTTATACTAAGTTTCGAGTTTCTCTGTCTACTGTTATGTTATACTTTCCTACTTTATGATGTAATTTATATGTATTTGTTTTTAGTTAAGTTAACTGAGTTTGTTCTCAATTTTAGGTATTAAAGTAATATTCAATTATATAATAGGACAATATTTTATATATTCTATATCAAAAAACCGACCCCCAACCTAGTTTGAGTTTTCCCAAACTATTGTCCTAGAATTACAGAATACTTTTATATATATATTTCTGATTCGGAGGATGATATACATATTTTTATAGACTAAAATATGTATACTATACTAGACTAATATATATATATATATATATATATATATATATATATATATAAAATACTATATTTCTATAAACTTAAATCATTTTTGAAATAATTAGGTTTAGATCTTTAACTGAAACAAGGGGCTAAATTACTTAGTTAGCGATACAACAATAACTTTCTTCATCCTTCTTGCTTTGTAAACCCGTTTCATTTTTGTTACGAATTATTTACATTGGATATAAAAGACCTAAATGTTTTAATTTCTCGAAACAGCCTTTCAAAATGGTGCACTTAACTTTAATTCGATTTATAGAAGATAAAACTTAAAAGGTTTGCAGTCAAAATCACATTAGGCCATTATAAAAGTCGCGCCAACTTTTCCACTTTGATAAATGACTTTTTAAACTGTTGGCAACACTAACTGCGTTTAGTAAAGTGGAATAGAAATTGTTTACCCTTTAAACGGCCTAAGAGACATCTTAAAGTAACCCTGATATTGTATAGTTTACTTTTTATAGTATCAAATAAGAAACAATGAACTAAATTTAATGTTAGGAAGTTAGGAATTTAAGGCAGCCAATTTGAGTCACAAAGCGTCCGTATTAGCAATAATCAATCAATCAATAGGCTAGCCTTTTATTTCGGGGGTAAGACTAAAATAGTTAATAGTTCACAAATATGTGATTATTTGTAAATTTTAATACGTAATATATATTTTTTCATATATATATGAGCGAGTATATTAAATATTGAACAGTAACGATTTCCAAACAGTTCGTTGCGAACACCGTGATTAATATGTTCTCTCGATTTTTGAAAGTCTGTTGCATGTTTGCTACGTACAATAAATTTAACACGCGGTTTTAAAAACTAGGCGTTTCGACTCGAACCCGACTCAAATGTTAATAAATCTCGACGAATAACTATACACCCTCATATTAATTATTCAACATTAATGGTAAATAAACACCCAACCGGGTAAGAACAAATATAGGACGGTTAAAAAATTCGAACAATAAAAACAATGTTCAACATATTGCGGGTAGTTTTCTCACAATATTTACTTATTATATAAGTGCCTACCTACACGGCCGTAATATACAGCCACCCTTGTTTTTTTAACGTGTTTACCGAAGACGCATCTACATAATGTGCCTACGCAAACAGACGGTGTAAACACACCCGAATGAACGAATCTCCAATAACGCTCCTGTCAGATTTTAGCTCAATTTCATTTAAATTCGTAATAAGAATTTAATTACAAGTTATTTTTATAGGCCCTGTACATAGAGGATTCAAATCCTTTCATAATAGTTGTGAATCCAAAATGTTTATTGTGTTACCCATTATTTTGACAGTAAAATATTTAAATTTTATTAAGGATTTTTGACGTTTGCCGATTTGAAGTTCAGTGATCATACCTCCCTCGGGTGCCTTTCTGTTTAAGATAATTTCGCAATGTCGATTAGAAATATCCAGTTGCAGTCTTGGAGTGGAGAATTTCCATGTGCATATATCTTTTTATTGAACTACGCAGAACAACAGCACTGCAGAGAGAAGGAAAACTTGACACAAACCCTATACCAGCCCTTCTGGCCAGCGTGGTATAGTAGGCCAAAACCTCCTTTCTAAGGAGAGGTTTAAGTCTAGCAGTGGACTGTTAAAGGATGTTGATGATCTTTTATTAGATCTATCATAATTTGTTGAGACGTGAGAATTATGTGGAAAAGAGGGAACGTTATTCGAGGCGAATTAAATAAAATTTAAATCGAAGCGCAACATTCCGCTTTAAGATATCATGTCAATTTGTTCAGCTCAGTACAAGTCACCAATTGGGATCCATTCTATCTGCTGCTACAATCCGTAGTTATATTTTAAGAGACGATATCTTCTAGGTGTAGTATACTCGTATATTGTGTTGGTTGTCATATTTTATAACATAAAGTTGTGCTGTTACTCACACCGTCAGCTATTTCCAACTTAGTTCGTGTACAGTGGGTTCTATGTTTACAACTTACTTTAAATACATACCTACCTTCTCTTGAATGTCCGTTAGGTTAGTTAGTTATTGAAGTACAAATATCGTATCGATACCTTACCGGTGTAAACTGGAGTTTATTTTACCTGGATACGTGCCTCAGGCAATCCGATCTTTTCAGCCAGCCGCTCCCGCGCGAACACGTCCGGATAGTGCGTCCGTTCGAACTCTGCATCAAATAATTAGATTATAATCACATCTGTAGCGTATATATTTTTATACATATAAACAGACCATTTTATTAACAGAAATCTAAAAAGATAAAGTAATGAATATTTTTAAACCAACAAAAACCTGAAGACATTGTACCCATTGTCTTAAGATTTTATAGTTGTTAAGTTACAAGACTGTTCTGGTTTGAAACTTGATTCAATTTTTATGTATATACATAACTTATTAAGTACGTGTAGTAAAATACAATAACACTTATTTATTAACAAATATTAGGCTAGGTGAGAGATTTTTATTCCTTATAGTGTTTTCATCAATGATTAAGCTTGACTTTTAGAACCTCTTTAATTTAGGCAGTTAGGAGTTTCAGGCAGCTTAACAAAAGATGCCTGTGAAAATCTACAGCACTCTCGGGCCAGTTTAAAAATCTTGTTGTCTTAAATTGGTGTCAGCTATACCTATAGCTGCGAATAGGTAATTGTTCAATCAATCAATCGATTGATCCTGCCATTGGGAGAAATTGTCAGACCAGGTCCCCCAGCTAGGAATATTATAGAGCACCCTTAATAGAGAAAAGTATATTTCCCATTATATGGTAACTTACTTTTACGTGAGCTAGTGTAATAAAAAACATTCAACACAATGATTTTATCATTATACCTTTGGATAGAAAGAAAAGAGTTAAGTAATAGAAAAGAAAAATAAACTAATTGTTAGGATGGAACAGGATGGAACAGCCAACTTGTCAAAATATTAAAAAAAAATGAGACGTAGCAAACAATCAATAAAGCTATGAAGCAAACAAACAAACAAGTAAGATTAACAGTGAGCTCAATAATTGGGCGTTGTGCCACGGGACGAGAGCTGGACAAACATGGAGGGACAATATTTATTTACTTACTAATAACCGTGTCGTGAACGCAAACAATAAATAAGATGAAAAGGACATTGGGAAATAGGTTTATGAAGTCTCCGGGGAGTTATTGGCAGGCAGGGACCTTAATGTCAAATATGATTTATACTCAGGAGCTGGAATTATTGTTTACTCTTTTTATACAACTTCACTTCTAATACAATACCTGCCAGAACACTGATATCATACTACAGTGGAGCTACTTTGATGGGGTTGTCGCGTTATTGGAAGGTTTGACGGGCTATGGATATAGCGCTAGTGGTTATCGAGTGAGCCTGAGGTCGTGAGTTCGATTCCCACTCAGGATAAATAATTGTTTGAAGAGCTCGATAGTTTGGTCTGTATCTGGTTGGGTAATTTATTTATAATATTGTATTATTTAAAAAGTTGCTATATCAGATTAATGGTGAAGGAACTGGCAAGTCATTCGAATCTAGTGCAGTTATTACACTATAACACTCACCTTTCTCAAGGCTATCTATCTGATCGTTGGTGAAGGAGGTCCTGTTCCTCTGCAGCTTTCTCTTAAGTCGCAGTCTCATCTGTGAGTCTTCGTCTCCTGATGAAGCGTGCTCGCTGTTCCCGTCCGACCCCGCCTCTGATTGCAAAGGATCTGCTGAAAGAGGACTTACGTTACTATCTTCAAAATGGTCAACTTACTTAAAAACTAACTTACTTAGAACTTAATAATAAAAGAAAATTTATTTGTTCTGTGTCTGTGTTTAATTTATTTTATGTTTAGGTATACTTAGAAACATATTTGTATGTATGTTGATCAACAGTCTGATTATACAAAATAGGCTAGGTATATTAAGGATTAGACGGCCGTATATGAGATGTGTGAACACCTAATTTTGTTATTTATTTAAATTTCATATGCATTTGTAGAATAGGCCAACTAAATGTCCCGGCCATTTTCTAACAAGGGTGAATGAAGTAGACATAGTAGGTAATTAATAATAATAATTAATAATTATTTAACACATCTCACACACGGCCGTCTGATCACAAAATAGGCAGAGCCTATGCTATGGTAACCAGACTGCTGATAAACATACTTATATACTTCTAAATACATACATAATATAGATAAATTACACCCAGGCACAGAACAAATGATCGTGCTCATCACACAAGTACTTGTCCTGGGTGGGGATGTGTTGAACTTTTATTTTATCCGTTGGAAATAATATGTATTTAGTACTAAACAATCAAGAGAAGCTTGATATGATACACTGTATACACACTAATTGGTGCTTATTAATACATGACATATAAACTACTATTTTGAATCATGGTTTTTACACTCGTCCGAGCGGCGTGATTTAAATTTTCACTTTGTACTGATTGACATAGTACGCACAAATAATTGAAGTGTTTTACCTTCTGGTTTACACGTTGTGAAGTACCGAATATACCAGTCTAAAGTACCACCCCCTCATCCAAAGTCATCCAAAATATTGCAAAGTCCGGTTTACCAATTAAAAAAGCATTTTTTTTAAATTACAAGAGTATTAAAGTCATGTACTCTTAAATACGAAAATATGTGAATAATTTTATCATGATGGCGTCTGGCAATTAAAATTTTATAACAATGAATTAAATTGAATGACTCAATTTAGACACAACAGTCTCAAACAAAATGCTTAACTGACAAAGGCTCTTCATCATAAACTATCAACAAAAGTTCTCCAACAAAACGTCCTCAATGACTATCAACCAAATGCGTCAGCAGTATTGCACAACCCTCAAAAAATTACATAGCATCCAGTCATCGTGACCCTGACTTCAAAAACTTTTATTCAACACAAGGGCTCAAGTTAGACCGGTTGTTTACGACCCTTTAAGTAAGGGTGATAGCAAAATTAAACGTAACTCGTAATGTTGTCGACATGCCTCCGGCTAATTGATTAATTTGCTTTATGGTCGGAGCACTTGAGTCCGGGGTTCGGTTCTCCGGTAATGTGCGCACGGGTTACTGATTCCGTTGAAAAGGAGGTCTGTTAGGCAATCTGTCACATTTTTGCCAATGATGCGTTTATGTGGGCTCGTTGCTAATTTGTGTAATGGATAGCATTCGGTGACTTTGAATTGGGAAGAAAAAAAACTAACTTATATAGAAAGAGATTTCCAATAGTGTCATCAAAAGACAGTTAAGCTGGTGATACCATAGATTTATCTGATTGATGCAGCTCTTCGTACGTAACGCGCAATGGGACTCTCATTGACATTGTCTCAGCCAGACTTCCTGTGTATTTAAAGATAAACAAGAGTGCGAGAGAGTGACAAATTCAAACAAAAAGTATGACAATTGCATACATAATTAAACAAAGTAAGTAGGTTGTAGAACCCGCAATAAATTTTATAAAAGACATCAAATTAGTGACTAGAAAGACCAAAGACCAAAAGTAGGTGATAGAATAATACAACAACATATACAACTAGGAATCAATTAACAAAGTAGCGGCGGTAGCCTAGTGGTTAAGGCATTGGACTTGCGATCAAGAGGTTCGAATTCTGACCAGTCCACTACCGACGTAAACCCACTCCTAACACAAGCAATTTAGCTTAGCTGGAGGGGTTAACGGGAATACTAGTAATTTCATTGAAATTTTAATTTCATTTCATTTAAATTTATGGCACTTAACGTATTCCAAGTGAGTTATGTTTGATTCCAATAATGTGGCCACAACGACTAAATACAAAAAACCCATATGATTCTAAATACCTGTATATATTGTTTTATTCATTTGCGTTTTTGATATCTATTATATTAACCTATTTACACACCTCTCAACGTAACTCAAAATTGATCAGTCCGATCATATACAAGGTGTTCCAAAAACGACAGAACCGTAACACATACGCTAAACGCTTGACATGATTGATGGACGACAGCGACATTCGCTCGGCGAAACGTGGCGGACTTTCCAATCGGTTGACAATTTTGATTGATCGTCGCACTACAGGGTGTTCATATGTGTGCATGTGCCCTTAACGTCAATAACATCTCTAATGAGAACGAGTTTACAAATGGGTGACGACATTGGTGACGTCGAGAAAAAATTTGAAGGATGGGGTTGCAACCAAATGTGAATGGTGACTTGTTTAACTTATAATTATTTGATGTGTCACCAACATAGTTAGATAAATAAGGCTCTGTGTTTTTATATTTATTTCTAATCTCTATGCATTATATCCCAAAGTCAAAAGTAATACATACAAAAAAAAATTGAAAAAAATTGTAATAATAAATGTTAGTAACATCTATAATTTGTGGAAAAAATAGCTAAACATTGTTTTCTAACTTGTAAATTTCAATTGTAAAGGAGTTCAGTATTTGAAGGCTTACATGAATTTAAACATATATTTAATATTTAAAAACCTTAGAAAGGTCGATGCCTACGTCACATTGCTATTCCATATATTTTTAAAACCAACAATTGAAACGTTAAGTATAATTGTACCGTTATCTGAACCTAACACAAAGGCTTGCCAAAAATATATCTGTAACACACAAACATTACTTCCAACCCAACAATCATCATTTTCATTATTTATTACCGGTCCGTACATAAAGGAAGGAATTCATTAAAAAAATCAATTCAGTCGACGGCGGCACTTAACCACAATTCCACCAATAACGACGTACAAATGATCGAAGAAAAAACTTCCTCTAGCCTCGAAGGGCGGGATGAAACACGAAAAATACATAAGAGAAAATAATAGTAGTAAGAAAATAAGAAAAGGAACGAAATAAAAGTGGGGGCGGTGGAAAAAAATTGGAGAAAATAAGTACAAAGGGGAGTGAAGAAAGTCGGCGGGAGATAAAGCGGAATTGGAGTTATCGGGGCGAAACACGACGGTCGTAGGTGGGGGCCGATTGCTGGCGAGCGATTATGTGAGATCGATACTGTCACTCAACCGCCATGAGCGTCGCGCCATGAGCGACAGCGGGCCACTTACCTCTCAGCCTACTTATCTCGCTAATTACAATTATAACATATTAAACAATGACAAAGCTGTTGTGAATTTCAAAAATTCAGTTTAGAACTTGACTTTTATCTTTTAAAAATTTCATGTTCACAAAGTAACTTATTATAGACAATATAATATCCCGATATTTACATTTATTGCCTAGTCATACTAGAATACAAAACAGTCATTAAAGTTTCGGGTGAGAAACAAAACAGCGACTGGTACAACCTTACATTTGTAACAATGTTATAAGTATTTGATTATCAAGCCAAATCCGCTAAAGTTGTTAAGGCTAGTCTTAAAAGCCAGTAGTTTACAAACAGTGTCGATAGAAAGAATCGAGTGATAACAATTCGTTTTCGACTATAACTTAGAACATTTACTCAAAGAACAAGTTCTGTGCGGCCGGACAAGGCGCGATCCACCTAATTCGGCACGCTCCTGAGAATCAATGCTGCTTGTATTCGATACATTTCTCAAGCATCTAACCTTTATTAACATAAATTATTTATCTCTACAAATTTTCTGTATCGTTGTTTATATAATTTAGTTTATGAGGTACGGTTTGGGGAAGGTAGGCTAATGTATCATCATTTAGAGCTTTATTGTATTTGTAAATTTGATGTTTGTTTAATCCACGTTCTGAAGTGTTCTATCATACGCCATTTCTACAAAGTATGTACATGTTGCAATAATACCTACTGATTCTGTTACCGTGGTTTGGTTTATTTTATTGCTCATAGAAGGTACAAGTTAATTTGTGAATAAAATTTCTTGTATATTTTTAACTATGTTCTTTATTTCATGAAATATTCATCGTGAAGACAACAGTTTAACTTGACACGCGTTGAGTACTCAAGACAAGTTTAATGGTGTTGATTCGCGGACTTTTTGATCCTTAAAATTTTCCCCAAACGAAATTGTTTGTTTAAAATCATTTAATGTGTATATTGCAATATTATCTAGCTTTGTTTTAATTCTAAGGAGCAGTTTCAGTTAACCCTCAGTAGCGACACCCTTTTCTGGGATACAAATTAGCCCATATCACTGTCCATCCATCAACTGTCCCTACCCAAGGAATCACGTTGATACGCTTCTTTACTGTTGCGTGGATGAAGTAGAAACCAACAAACATCCATTTGCACGTATAGTATTAGAACTTAACATTTCTTGTCAGTTACTACGTTATGAATATGTTGGCTATGTACCATGATCGTATTTATGTAAGTATTGCATTTTTTGAATATCAACCCATATGTCTTATATTTAAAGTTTTTTATAACCCTTAGAATATATTGCTAAAACATCATCACAATCCGAATAAAACACGAAATTATTCTAGAGTAATTTTTATATTAACGCCACAGCAATCATAACCAATTATATGCGACCTTATGTTGTATCAGTTGTATCGGGCATCTACTACATTATCTTAATTTGAAGGGAGGGGTGAGGTCAAGATATATTGGCGGTGGATATAATCAACTGTTCTCTAAATGTCCCCGACAGGCCCATCTGAATTACTTACTGAGGGCTGATAACGCGCTGTTTTTATTATTGTTGGTACAAGTGGGGCTATTTGTGTAATTTTCTCTGGGGATACGAGGGTAGGAGAAAATTTTGTGTTTTGGAATGTAA